TTACCATGAGGCTATATGCTTATGTGATATATCTACCTGAATGCCTGTGGGTGAAGGTTGGGTTATCCGAATTGGAATAATGCATTGACTATGAGTTTTAAGCCTACTAGACAGTGGCAAAACCATCTTTTCTAAGCCCACTTGAGGGTGGCAAAACCTGCATTTTAGCCCACTTGCGAGTAGCAAACCGTTTTCAAAACAAACATGAAATGCTTTGTCCCAATTCAGGCGACTTAGTCTATATTTGTTATGCTGTGCGCATCACATAGTAAATCTAGGCTAATAACCAGAATAAGAACACATAATGTTTTCAAAACAAGATATCATGGTTAGTAGAGGCCGATCTTCGGATCGGGCGAGAGGGGGTGCTCATAGCTGACCTTCCCCAATCGTACCCAAGTTCCCGAGCCGAGGCAACTTTGGTGATGACAGACACGTGGCCTTAGGCAAACGAGTCAGGGTTTCCTAAATTCCCCTAAAATAAAATATTTAGGTGGCGACTCTGTATCTAGCAAAGCAGTCCATGTTTGGCACTTCTTTACAAAAATCTGTTTTCCAAAATGATTTGCCGGATTTGGACTCTTTGGTTCAGATTAAGAACCATGACAATTTGAGTCCGAACTGTAGTAAGCCCAAATGAACAAATTGGGATTTCCCTCCCAGGATGTTTTGGGGCGTCTACAGTGTCCTGCTTGATTTGTTCATTTCAACACAGAAATTTGGTGTTCAGAAAGCTTTGCAAAAGGTACTAGTAGATCTAGCACTTGTATATTTTTCCTCATAAACCATGTTGTGTCTCTTGTGCATATTTACCAAACTAATTCATTGTGAACAGTGTCATTTTCTAACATGTGATGCTTACTTGCTGCATTTATTTTGTTCTCTGGTTTTGTATAATAGATTCTAAGAAATTCCCAATGCAAAACAATCCTTATGCAGGGGTCAATACTGTTACTAAGACTGTTAGCAATGGATACTATTAAATCCATTACTGTTATAAAGAAACAGTCGTCATGTAGGGGCCAGATTAATCTTGTATATTTTTCCAAAGCTTCGAGGTCCTCAGTGGTCACACTTGCGTTACATCCCACTTTGAGGGTTTGTGTTATAGGGTTTTTTCTTCTTAAAAAAATGTAAAATTTCTGTACTTTGTTTGTAGTCTACTCACATGACATTTGTGTCAAGAGATTTAAGTACAACCAAATTAGACACTCTACCTGGCTTCCAATATAAATTTAGAGGCAATTGTTATCTTAGGTTACTTGAAGAATTTGGATACTTTGTTCAACTACTAACTATTTGGTGGTAAAAGATTTCTTTTCCTGATTCTTCAGAGTTGTAATGGTCGAAATTAAATTTGAAGGATATGCAAACCTTGGAAATTCTCCTATAGTTAATTTTGGAGAGGATGCATTGACATAAATTCTGGATTATTTTTATTTTGATTATTTTTAATTTTTTCTCCTTAGAGGGCTTGTGAAGGATGTGCTACACTTTGAAGAAATTATGTCTGGCTCTGCTTCAAATCTAACTCATATTGATGTGAAAGTGGAGGAGCTACAGAGGAAGGTACTATAAATTTGCATTCAACTTGTTTACTTTTTGGATAATTATACTTTTTTGATTAATGCAAGTTATTAAAGATAAAAAAATTGTGCCAAGGGTGCATCACTCATTTGTAGGAATGATGAATGGGTCGCTTGAGGAGCATTTGGAGATGACATCAGGCATCATGGAGTTTCTTAAGAAGCAAGGTTTTAAAGGATAATTTAGAGGAGGTGGTATCCCATGAACTCATAGATTGCCATTTTGGTAAGTTTCACTTGTTTTATGTTTTTATTTTTCTCATGTTGGTTAGTATATACTAGTTAAAGCACAATAGTTTCACTAATTATTAACTAAGATATAACAAGTTTCAAAATGTATTTAATGAAAATAGATTCATTAGGGTATCCGGTTCTCCCAGTCTTTACCTGGGACGGTATGTGAATAGTGTTTCAAAAAAATCAATAATGTACACACTAAACACTAAGCGCCACAAAAAGCGACGACAACAAGAATATTTACTTTTCCTATACTTGTAGGTAGAAATGTGGGGCATAATAGACCATGAGCTGTGAGGAGAACACTGAGATAAAAAGTCATTTGTCTCAATAGACAATAATAGTACAACTCAATGCAATGAAACGTTGTCCTAATATTTACGGCACTAAGATGAATCCCATAATGCAGCAAGTCCATTCTGTTTATGACATAGTTTAAAGCAATACATATTATTCCATGTAATCTGCATCTATTAGGTCCTCTTATCCTTGGAAAACATAAGAACATGCCACTAGTCGCAAGTGCTGCAATTATAAGTCATCTTTGCACTTTGGTCATAGAAAATATCAAATTTAGCTATTAATCAATTACTGCACACATAGCATTGGAACTTCCCCACTTTCTTTAAATTTCAAAGTCATAAAGGCCATATTTTATTTCAAAGGAGCATTCAAGGAATAAAAGTACACATTTCTATACCAACACCCACTCCAATCTCATAGGGGAAAAAAGTGGAGATTAAATTATGTAAAGAAAAAAGAGAGTGTCAATCAATTTTTTGGATAAAACCAGGACAACCAATATAGGCTTAGCAACAATACACATCTTCTTATCATCCTAGTAAAACAGAGTGTAAGCGAGGTAAGACACAATAGTTTCACTAATTATTAACTTAGATTTAACAAGTTTCAAAATATATTTAATGAAAATAGATTCATTAGTTACTTCTTACTTAGCATGACCCTTGTTAAAATACATACTAACCAAGGTAGAGACAAAACTATGTGTTTACTTTTTTGTGTAATTTTGCTAGGCAGTGTTGGAGGTGCTCTAAGTTTGTGATGTGATTAATAGGAGCTTGCCATGTACAAAGGAACTTTTGGTTGTTAAACTAGACTCATTGTGTACACAATTTGTATTGATATGGATAGAGAGGTCTATACAATATAATTTGATAATATGTTAATGTTTTTTTTTGTTTATTTTCTTTGCAGATTGGTTTTTGATGACGTTTGGAAGCATACTTGCAAATCAAGATCAAGTGTTGAATTTGTTTTTTTCTTGAACTGATACTTAGTTGTAGTTGCAAATCAATATCAAGTGTTATTTTTTTTGTGGACTCCACTTTAGTTCATTTTGGGATTTGCTTTGATGTTTTTTTTTTGTCATACTTAATGGATTATTATTAAAGTTGTTTGATGGATATATTTTGATTTATAATATAAATTGTTTAGTGAATTTTTTTGTGGAGTGGTGTATAATAGCTAGTGGATTTCTTAGTACAATTAAAAGGCTATTGGAATATAAGCATGGATATTTGTGAAATAGTAATTAAAATTAAAATATAAAATATGGAACAAGTTTAGTGACGAATTTGTTTTGTTATTTGTATTTGTTATTACAACAAAGTGATTATTCATCTCCAATAAGCATTTTTTGTGACAAAATTTATTGCTGCTTATATATGAAAGTTTTCATTGATTTTGTTGTTTGGTGACTAATAATTTTGTCATGTATATATGTATATATATATATATATATTTGCGACGAAATATATTTCGTCACCCATGTATGACTTTTGGAGACAGAAAATATCGTCAACTTTACATCTTACTATGATGAAATTATTTCCTCATCAATGATCAACATGTGTGACAAATTTATTCGTCAACTAAAGTTATAAATATGGTACTGAATAACTATTTAGTGACGAAAACTAGGATTTTTGGCGACAAAATGTTGTTTTATTGGTGACAAAAAATTTCGTCACTGAACTTAGGTAGTGGTCCTTTGCCTCTTGCCCGCATTTACAGAAATCTCTGCTGCTGAGGATGGCCTAACCTATGGCCTAACCTATGTCCCTGAAGTTGGCAGCAGGGGCCAAAAGCTCTCTCATCCTCCAAGCAGCGAGGTATCGAACTAAGTGCAAAGCACATACTAGGAATGAAGCAAGGTATTCAACCCCCTCATCTAGATGAGTTTGATCACGTCCAAACTTGGGTAAGGCCAATCAACTGAATACTTGGCTAGCGAGACATGCTGTAGCTCATCTCTGACAAGTTAAGCCAGGGGCATCGCCAAGCGATGTTAGTCGCGGATTTGCTGCACATCCAGTTGCACCACAACCCTTCGGTAGGGAAGCTCACTAGCTGTGTGTTAAAGAAGTAGGATCTAGCCAAATACTCGGGGCAAGGGTCCACCATTTTCAGCTTATCCATCAACCACACTTGGGGAGGGATAAAAATAAGAGAGATTAAAGAATAAAGAGATATGCGTTGAGAGAAAAAGTAAGGAAAGGGCTTTGAGAGAAAATAGAGAGTAAGTGCCAAAGTGAAGTGGGAAATCATAAATGAGAAAGGATGGGAAACAATACCTGGAGAAGCAGTGAACTCCCTGCAAACTGAGAAGTCTCTTGCCTATGGAAAGTATCCAAACCCATTAAGGTTTCGGCTAGTGCCAGGCCTATACGGCTCTGACCCTCCTTGGCGCTGAACCACTTCAATTAGTCGGATGCTAACTTCGCTACCACTAGGGGCAAGAAGATAATAGGCGAGCAAGCATATGTAGAGAGCATGTTGGCAATAACCTCGCCAAAGAAGATCACGCCTATTCCCAATGTCGGAGAAACGGCGAAACAGGCCATGAATGTCTAACTCTCCATCATAAGCTGAAGATTTAGCCTTCTTGAAAGAGAGGCCGCACATTTGTTGAAGAGCCCGTGCATGGCTAAAAAGGAGTTGAGGCATAATTTTCTCATCGCTTCGGGACTCCATTAATGCTTAAAACTCTTCGAAAGTAGGACACATCTCTTGTGAAACTAGATTTAGAACCACGGGAGTCCGAACTATAGGGCTATCGTATCCAATGAGACTAAACCCTCTGAGGAGTGCGAAAAACCAGCTCCAGTATGTTACCGTGCAATAGGTGCTTGTTTTTGGTGTGGCAGAACAGGCCACATGATGAAAGATTATTTGATTGGGTTCGAAAATACCAACCATCCCGTGGCAAATTCAGGCAGATACGCTTCTGCACCAAGAACAAATATAAGAGCCAGCACTACGAAAGAAGCCGTAAAGCAAGGTTGTGTATTCGCATTTGTATCTGGTGATGTCCTGAACACCGAAACTATGGTATCAGGTATACTCTTTACTTGTGCTCAAAATGCCTATGTATTGATAGATTCTGGTTCTATGCATTCCTTCGTATCACATGCTTTCTCACGGAAGTTGACTAGACCATTAGAATCTATGAATTATTTGTTATATATATCTACACTTTCTGGGGGTTCTATGGTGTGCGCCTATGTGTATCCTGCATATGACAACATGATTGGGGATATGTTATTATATGTCGATTTCCTGCCATTGGACATTGCCCATTTTGATTGTATCTTGGGTATGGATTGGTTGACGAAGTATTGTGCTACTATTGACTGTGTAAATAAATCAGTTGTGTTTCGATCACCTAATTTACCCGAATTTTTGGTTACTGGGAATGGGATAGTTCCTTCCCCATATTTAATCTCTACAATGAAAGCTAATAAACTATTGAGAAAGGGGTGTCAGGGTTATTTGTGTTGTGTATTAATTGTGTCTACTGATAGTATGAACATAGAAAACATCCCCATAGTCAATGACTTTCTTGATGTGTTTCCTAATGATCTACCCGGGGATTTAATTGATAGGGAAATTGAATTTACCATTGATATAATACCTGGAACACAACCTATCTCCAAGACTCCATATAGGATGTCGACTTCTAAATTGAAGGAATTAAAAATCCAACTTCAAGAACTTTTAGACAAGAAATTCATTCGGCCGAGTACCTCACATTGAGGTGCTCCAGTGTTATTTGTTAAAAAGAAAAATGGATCATTGAGGCTGTGTATTGACTATTGGGAATTGAACAAAGTGACCATTAAGAACAAATACCCTTTGCCAAATAGATGATTTGTTTGATCAACTTCAGGGAGCCCAAGTCTTTACTAAGATTGACCTTAAATCTTACTATCATCAGTTAAAAGTTAAGGCAGAAGACATAGAAAAAACTACTTTTCGGACTAGATATGGGCACTATGAATTTTTGGTAATGTCATTTGGGGTAACTAATGCACCTGCAGCATTCATGGACTTAATGAATAGGATTTTCAAACCGTATCTGGATGAATTTGTTTTTGTAGTTATTGATGATATTTTGATATATTCTAAAAGTAGGGAAGAGCATGAAAATCATTTAAGACTTGTGCTACGAACTCTGAGGGAAAATAAACTATATGCAAAGCTTGTCAAATGTGAATTTTGGTTGGACAACATAACTTTTATGGGGCATGTAATCAATAAAGATGGCATATTTGCCGACCCGCAGAAAATTGAAGCTATTGTAGATTAGCCTAGACTAACCACTGTGATTGAAGTTAGAAGTTTTCTGGGACTTTCTAGTTACTATCGTAGATTTGTGAAAGACTTCTCAAAACTTGCTTTACCATTAACCCAGTTAACATAGAAAAATGCACCATTTGACTGGAATGATCAAAGGGAATTAGCTTTCCAAGAGTTGAAGACTAGATTAGTGATTGCACCAATTCTGACTCTACCTAATGGTACCGACAAGTTCCAAATCTACAATGATGCTTCATACAAAGGTTTGGGGTGTGTGTTAATGCAAAATGGTAACGTCATTGCTTATGCTTCTCGACAACTCCGACCTCATGAGAAAAACTATCCAACCCATAACCTTAAACTTGCAACTGTGGTTTTTGCTTTGAAGATCTGGCGTCATTATCTGTATGGAGTGACCTGTGAAGTATACACAGACCACAAAAGTCTGAAATATTTTTTCACTAAAAAAGAACTAAACATGAGACAAAGAAGATGACTTAAATTGATTAAAGATTATGACTTACAGATTCTGTATCATCCGGGAAAAGCTAATACAGTTGTAGATGATTTGAGCAGAAAATCTATTGGGAATTTGGCGTGTATGCTTACTGGACAGAAAGAGTTGTTATGTGACTTAGAAAGAGAGATGAGTTTGAAGTTGTGTTGTATGAACATGGTGGAGTCTTAGCTGCTATCTTTGAATGACCAACAATCGTTGAATAAATTAAAGAAAATAGCCAGAAGATGAATTTCTGAAAAAGATTGTTAATGAGATTGATTCAAAACCAAGGTCGGGATTGTGTATGGAAGTAATGTGTTGAAGTTTCAGAATAGGCTTTGTGTGCCAGATTGTTCAGAATTGAGAAAATGTGTTATGACTGAAGCACACAATTCTAAATTTACTATGTATCTGGGAAATATGAAGATGTACAAAGATTTGAAACAAAATTTTTGGTGGCCTGGAATGAAAAAGTGTATTGCTGATTTTGTAGCCAAGTGTTTGCATTGCCAACAAGTAAAAGCCGAACATCAACGACTTGCTAGATTGCTTC